ACCAAGTTGGATTCATTCCAGGGGCACAAGGAGGGTTAACATCCGAAAATCATCAACGTTATCCAACACATCAACAAAAAGAAATATAAAAACATATGATAATAGCAATAGAGCTGAGAAAGCTTTCGACAAAGTGCAACACCCATCATGATAAAAGCCCTGAAATTCTTGGGATACAAGGAACATACCTCAAACATAAAAGGCCATCTATGACAAGCCCAACAGCCAGTATCATTCTCAAATGGTGAAAAGCTGAAGCAATTCCATTAAGATCTGGAACAAGACAAGGATGTCACTCTCACAACTGCTTTTCAATATAATACTGGAAGTCCTAGCCAGAGCAATAAGACAAGAGAAAGACATCCAAGGAAATCCAAATAGGAAAAGAAGAAGTCAACTATCACTATTTGCAGATGATATGATAATATACATAGAGAACCCCAAAATTCTCCCAGAAAACTATTCAACTCATCAATCAATTCAGTAAAGTGGCAGGATACAAAATCAACACACAAAATCATGGCCTTCCTATACACAAAAATAAATCTGAAGAAGAAGAAATCAAAAAAACCACCCCTTTTATTATCGAAAAAAAAAAATCAAATATTGGGAATCAATCTAACAAAAGGTAAAGGACCTATACAAAGAAAACTATAAAACACTGTTAAAAGAAATAGAAGAAGAAGACACAAAGAAATGGAAAGACATCCCCTGCTCTGGATTGGAAGAATAAACATTATTAAAATGGCCATCCTACCAAAAGCAGCAATATACAGATTCAATGCTATTCCAATCAAAATCTCAATGGCATTCTTCAAAGAAATAGAACAATTATTGATGAAATTCATATGGAATCACACCAAAAACCCCCAATAGCCAAAGCTCTACTGAAAAAAAAAGAAGGAAATGGAGGCATCACACTCCCAGACTTCAAACTATACTACAAAGCCATATCATCAAAACTGCATGTATTGGAACAAGAACAGACAACACAGACCAATGGAATCGAATAGAAAATCCAGAAATAAACCCACAGATTTATGGTCAACTAATCTTTGACAAAGGAGCAAAGACTATGCATTGGAGCAAAGAAAGTTTGTTCAATAAATGGTGCTGGGAAAACTGGGGTCGCTACATGCAAAAAATGAAGCTTGACCACTACCCTCACACCATACACAAAAATCAACTCAAAATGGATTAAAGAAAGACATAAGACCTGAAACCATAAAATATATAGAGGAAATATAGGCGAAACACTACGGGATTTGCACATCAAAGACTCTTTACAGACACATCACCCAAAGCAGTGATAGTGAAGAGAAAGATAAACAGCTGG